CGGTAAAAATAGCATTTTCGACACCTGTTGTTTTTCGCATTTCGTCGAGACTAAAACGCTGCTGAGGCAGCCCGGGAGATTTGCAATGTATACGGAGGTGTTATAGCCGAGTCTGCAACACGTAAATTGTTTGCAATGTTTCAGAATGGCGATTTTGACGACACGACCTGCCGAATTTTGGCAAAATGGCATCGACAATTTGGTGGAGAGGTGGGAAAAGATAGTAAACAGCAACGGCGAATACAATTACTTGATTTATTGCTAGAACCATTGATTTTTGTTTGCTACGAACTTATTTCTCAACCCAATATATAAGAGAGAGAGGAAGAGAGATGATAACTTTGCGAGCCAGTACTTCCATTTTTCTTTTGCAGCATCGTACTATAGAGACTCTAGCTACGTTTAACACTGCGCTTGGGAAATTGGTAGAATATATCTGAGTTACGAAGTTTAGGTTCCATCCATACATTGACAGCAGCTTGTGATGGCTTTTCGCATAAGATGCATACTGATTACTGCAGCATGAGGTGACCTCCTCTGGCGTGACGCTATCGCGATCGGGGACCTAGCTGCGATATCGGCTTAGCGAACTTTTCAGGCGTCGGAGGGTGTCAGCGAGAATTGACGCTGCTGCAAGTCTCTCTGGATGTACTTCCAGGGGGTCAAGCGGCGATTTTGATGCGGGATTTACAACAGTTTTTGGCAATTTAATTCGATAAAAATAAGGAAGTGTGAAAAGGAAGACCGAAGTGCTTTGTACTTTCAAAGGTGAAATTGTGGGTTTCACAGAGTCATAATTGTAAAGATTTTTACTAGGATGATTATTAATTTCTAATTTGAAAGAGAGAGAAAAGAAGGAACTTGGATTATGAACGGTACCCTCTCAGTAGTGAAAAAGTTACCGTTCACAAGCTGGGGGACATTGCCTACATGAGATACTTGCACCTAATGTCTTACCTTCAAGAGGAAAGTATCCCTGCCCAGTGGACGACCTTCTGAGCAATCCTTTCCCACCGTCCGATGTACTGCCGAACATTTACAAGCTCTTCACGAATACTACTCTTAATTGAATATCAAGGGCACTGAAGCTCAACTTTAGAAGAAGCTGAATTTCGCAAGAGATTTATCTGCGTGGATTACAACCAGGTGCTTTGATGGATTATCCAGATTTACTGATATATCGCCTGACTCTCGTTCTATCCTTTATCGACCACGAGAAAGCGTTTGACAGCGTAGAAAAATTACAGTATTATCAGCGCTCACCAAGGAGTAAACACGCTCGCATGAGGGCTTTAGCCGATTCCTACACGAGCTCTATAACGTACAGCTTTTCCATCATCCCTTTTAGCATGGCGACACCGTGTTGCCAAAGCTGTTTACTGTCGCTTTGCAGAAGAATCACTG